TTTCTATTTTGGTCTGTCCCAAAATATTTGTCACTTACCAAAAATGATTGTAAACTTTATCAATAATTTCCGATACTTACCCCTGTCTCACCTGACTAAAAAGCAGGTGTTATTATGGCCAAAAAGTCTTCCGTCAAGACTTGCAACTTTTCCAGTTTAGCTGATGGTTTTGCACGCACCAACCAACGTGAAATGATTGCTGTCCGTAGCTTCACACTCTACTTCAAATTAGAATAAGTCACATGCCAATCAATAAACATATGGACTCCACTATCACATTTTGACCATCCATTCTGCAGCTTTTGTGTTTAAACAAAGGGTAACATGGAAAACACGGATGGATTTTTAAAAAATTGAGTACTGTTGATAATAAGTTGAAGTCCCGAAAAGTGACAAACTTTTCGGGACGGAGGGAGTATTAGTTCTATTTTGATTGTCAATCAAAACATTATGGCCAATCAAACTGTTCAGGACCTCTTACTGTGAAAAATTAGATCTAAGGCAGTCTTATGCTCATTGTAAGATTTCATTGTGGTTGGTACCACAATTGAGATTATTTTACAAATTCTTCTTCTATTATTTTTAACCTTTGTCAATTATTCACATTTATTCTTACAACATTGTTCAAAAAATAGATTGCACAGTGCGAGTTGGGGCCATCTACCTCCTCTCAGGAATTGGTGCGAGCATACTCTCATGCATTTTCATTCATTGCAGTATCTCTGCAGGAGCTTCTGGTGCTCTTTTTGGTCTTCTTGGTGCAATACTATCAGAGTTGCTTACTAACTGGACCATTTATAGCAACAAGGTAGAGCAGCATTCTTCTTTTTGATCTGGTCACTCCACTAACGATACCCCTTTGTATAACGCTACATGAAGTGCAAAAGCCACCTCTGGTCTAAAGTCTAATCATATTAATAAGATTTAATCAATGAAACTTACTAGCCTTATTACAAACATATGCCTTTGTCAAATTTTGGTTGGGAATGTCTATTCTTGTAGTAAATCACATGATAGTCTAATAAAATAGGCAAACTAGCTTATCCAATTGGATTTCATTTGTCTCATTCAAGTGATTATACTGATTGTTTGTGAGAAATTCTATCAAGCGTTCCTGCGTTAAGTATTTCTTTTGTTTTTGTCAGGTTGCAGCTCTCTTTACCCTTATGGTCATCATCCTCATCAACTTGGCTCTTGACATACTTCCTCATGTTGACAATTTTGCTCATATTGGAGGTTTCATTTCGGCGTTTCTCCTTGGATTTATATTACTGTTTCGGCCCTAGTTTGGTTAACTTCCACCCGGTGCTCGTCTCAAGTCCAAATATACAGTTTACCAGTATGTTCTCGTGCTGGTTGCGCTAGTTTTACTAATCATTGGGTAAGCTCTCTTTTACCTGAGGTTGACGTAATTTCCTGTTAAATGAATCTAAAGCTGCTTTCATTTTCTTTCATTGGATGTTAAAACTACAAAGCTGTGAATAAACTACCCCAATGAAACATCCTAAAAAAGTTTTTATTGGTCATTTGTATCAGATACTTACAGGAAATGGAACATATACTTGTCAGTTTCTGCTTGGACGGTATCTGCCAATAGTGATTGCCTTTAATAGACATATATCCTTCAGTATATCTTATAATGCTTGAGCTGCTATAGGTACAGCAAGCATACATATTTACTTTGCTAACCATGCCTTTGTGCACGCTGCAGATTCACGGTAGGATTGGTCATGCTTTTTAGGGGAGAAAATGGGAATGATCATTGCAGCTGGTGCCATTCCATCAAAAATGTAGGACCAGAAGGTCAGTGCATACATTCACACTCAGATGCAAGCTGCTGCACTTTCTGAAACTCCTACAACATCGTTGGCTCTTAACAAATATCATTGGGTACCTGGCTTTAATCTCCTTGTAATACATGTGTACCGAATGCATACTAATTTATATGCAACTTTATTTAATGTCCCTCATAAACTTCTCCTTGTCAAAAAAATCCTGAATGCTTCATGCTCCCATGTTCCAGTTCATGTACTTATGCTTATCAAGAGAATTATGGCAAGCGTTAACAATACTAATAAAACTTTGTTCTTTTTATTGTTAAACATATACATAGTCAGTCCTTTATTCAACACGTGATGTACCAAAATTGAATAGCACACAGATCAAACAAAAAGCTGCAACTGTCTGCAACCAACCATCTTTGCTGTTTCCTATTTTTTCTTCATTCACAAATTTTGCAATCTTTCTGGTATATATATTAATACCCCCATACCAATTTTTTCTCCTGTTATCTTCTTCTTCTTCTACCACTTTGATAGCAGAAAATATGTTTGATCCTCCATCAAGTTCTCAACAGCCAACCAGCAACTTACTGTTTTCTCTTCAAATGTTGCCATAAAGACCAGGTACACATTTTCTTTTCTTATAAAACAAAAACTTTCAGACTATCCATATATAATATATTTATATTACTATATTTGCTGTTACTTACTCCATCAATCAATCCCAGATTTTACCCGCCCAGTTTCAGCTGTTACTTCATCAGCATCAAAAGAACACAATCATCCTCAGATATGGACTGCAAAAATGGCCTCTCACAATTGTCAATGGCTGCTTTGAAGAACGATAGGATGACTATTGCCATGACAATATCATTAACACACATGATATGTTGATGCTTTGTCATGCTGGAAATCTTATTTTCGACATTATTCATTTCTCTGAACTCCAACAACAATTTTACTTATCCTGGACAGGACAGTTCCACTCCCAAATATTTTGGAGAATAACGCTGCCTATACACAAGGCCTGTATATGTTTTACTCTATTTCCTATATTCATTTCTGTTATCATTATTTCTAATACATTATCTGTTTAATGACCTCAGATACCACATTCTTATCGCTTAACCGCCATGATGTGGCTTCATCATTAAAGCCAGACTTTTCTCAAAACATAACTGATTCCCATTGTTTTTATCAAATTTTTCCATTCAGCAACACCAAATTCAATGGTGAGTTATTATTATATGCATATTCATCTATTTTCTTTAGCCTATTTTTTTATGTTCGGTTTTTCATTCTAACTTTTCTTAATGATTACTAGAAAATTCCAAGATTCACTGATCGCTTCTTCAATGGTGAAAGAACTCCCACCGTACTTATCAAAACTGGCCATAACATTACAGAGATTGGTATCAGAGGGAAACATCTAAAAAGGAATTAGAGAAGCTTCGCTCTTCAACATCAATTACAGCATAACGAAACTCTTATGTTTATTCCAGAATCACACATCACATTTGCTGTTTTAATATTTGATTATAATGGAGTTGAAAAGCTATTTCCATGGTATAACACTTTTAGTATTTATTCAGATGCTTATAGCTGTGATTAACCTCTGTTATGTTGTCTGATCGTGCGTCTGCGGCTTTTTAAATGCTTCAATAAAATGTATTAGAACCTTTTTACTTCCAATAACACTGTTCAGTTTTATTCCACCTCATTACATAAATGCAATGTTAATTATGTAGATCATTTATTGCTGAAAAAAATTACAGCAAACGTCCAAAATAGTTACTGAATCCCTGAAGACATTCCTTTTATCAGCATTTTGTACTTTTCACTACCTAACAATGAATACACGCGAACATTTCAGATTCTGATCATTTTATCACCAATAATGGTCCCTTCCTACAGCTCTACACCTTTGGAATTGGATGAAAATGACACCATGCATATCAATCTTTTCAGATTCTATAGCTTTATGTTTTAAACATACATTCATCACTTTGAGTTAAGTACATAACCATTTTACTTTTATATGCATTCCTCCAAAACGTACAAGAACAAAACAGCAATATACAATACTTTCCTTCCTCTGATACTACTTTTACCATCAACATCTTCCTTCTCGTGTGTTTCATTTTCCCTCATTATCATCTCAGATTTCTCTACTTTGTACTCTCCGGTGACTCCAAGGTCCGGCTTCATTTCTTCCACCTTTTCTTTTGCTGCTTTTATCAGTATAGTTCCGTTCATTTAAGCATATCCCAGCTTCAAAATGCATTTTTTTCCCTAACATATCCGTTCCTAATGTTCCAATTCTATCTTTTCTGCAGCCCTTTTAACTCGTATAGATTGTACTTCACCCATTTAATTCTTTCCTTTTCTATTATAGGAAATCTTACAATGCAACCTGTAATAATCCCTCTATCTGCTGTTCGCTGGCATTCATCAAACTGGACAGTTGCTCTCCAAGTTATAGAAGTTAGTCATATTAAAAATAATTCGCACCTCCAGCAAAACTTTTACACCTTTGTGCTTGCTGATTCACAGGTAAGAGCTCTCATTGCAATTTCACTCATTGATAAAACTGGATCTTTATGTGCTACTGCTATGGATGTTGAAGCAGAGAGGCTAATTCAGTATTCAACCGCAGAACTATACTATTACTTTTTTAAACCAAATATTCTCTTCCTTCTTTTTTTAATCCATTACAATTTTCTTGCATTCTTTTTTAACAACAGGGCGTTGATCTTGCTCAATACCTTGCGCATACTTTACAAGGAAAGCTACTCCTGTGCTACATTAAGCCCTCTCCTTCCAAGTTCAAACCCATGAAACGTGCAGCTTATGAAATAATCACATCCTACTCAACGGATGAAGTTTTTAATGCTGAAAATATTAACATAAACAATCTCAACATCAATGGTTGACCTTCTACTTATTTTGCATACATTACTGTTGCCTTTAATGTGTTTTCCACTATGTATATTTAATCATAATTACCACGCATTATAACTATATTTGCTATTTTATTCTCTTTACCTTTATTACATACTTATTTGTTTTACAATAAATTCTCATTTCTACACTAATTATCTGTGATTATCATAATATTAAAAGAAATATAATTGAGCCAAACATCCAAAAATAAATAATTTCCAGTTTCCGAATCAATTTTTACTATGCAAGCAATTTAATTTAACTAGCAAATCAAAATACGGTCAATGCAAACCAAAAAATCAATAAGTATATAAACAATCAAGTTTTTCTCAGACAAAATTCCTCCTAAGCACTTCATGCCTTTTGACTTGCGCTAACCAATCCTACACATTTCTGGGCAATCGCGGTACCCACCTCCTAGTGTGTTAAAAGTCACAATACAAAGTGTAGAATATACAGGGGCACAAAACTTTTCCTAGCTATGATGGGAAATGCGAATGCCGACCCTCCTCATGTACGCTCTGCTTCTTATTTGGCAACGAAAACAAATACACTTCTCCCTCCACTTTCAGCTTGTCCCAGAGTTGTGGAAAGGAAACACTAACAAATAATAATTGCAGTAGCTACTGCGAACTCCCAAAACCCTTAACCACTACATATATAAAACAAGAACAGTAGTAGTGAGTAAAAGTAAGTGCAGGAAATCTAAACCAAGCTTTAATGTTTATTCAGTAAGCAAGCAACATCAGTGGGTAATTACTGAAGTTTAACGAGCGGTGGGGAAGAGATTATATTAAACGGGCGGTGGCTGGCCAGCTTCCATCATCACAAGGAGAACAACCCTCTTGAGCAACATCAGTGATCTGGACACCGGAATCGTAGACCATCCCATTCTTCCAATCCGCAGGTAACGCATTTTTAGCCCACACAAACTTGCCATCGTAGCCAGCCGTCACCACCACCCGGAGCTGCAACGCCCCGCTTGGAACTCTGCTGCTATCCCAGACAGCGCCGTAGTTTCGGCTCATGAAAGTCCAATTTGGTGAATCAACCTGTGTCAAATTCATCAACCAAAATACCAATCAGAATCTAATTTCCTCCTGACAAAGAGAGGCAACAACTGATCAAATGCAGGGTTGGAGTGTTTACCTGAGCCACATCAACACCCACGATCTCCGTCTGGCCACCTTGGTACAAGAACTTAATGGCTAGATAATTACTACGCTTCTGGCTTGATTCTTCCACGCGAATGCCCAGATTCCTTCTGTAATCACAAGGAACCCTGCTCCAACCAAAACCATTCGTTCATATGCACTTCATTTGCTAGTTAGCACTCTACTATGTTTATGTTTATGGACACTCCAACCAACCAACCAACCAACCAAAATTTAAGGAGACAAAAAGCATATATATACAATATGTATGTGGTAGGTATGGCTTTCCAAGTGGATCTCAAAGTCTGAACATCAACAAATGTAATCAGATCATTATTGTATATGCCTTTGTAGTAGTATTTAAAGTGTAACGGTCATGTTACGACCTCTACAGCTAAGCTAGCTGCTTATTTCCCGGACAAAAGGGCCCCCACCTGACGCGAATGCTAATGGGCTACTTTAGGCCCACATTACATCTAAGCAGTGTTAGTACTACTAGTAAGTGTGTTTGGAAATCTGAAATATTTCGCCGGCATCCTAAAACTATTTTTTTTAATTAATTTTTTTTATATTTTTTATTATTTTTTATTTTATATACATCACATCATAAAAAATGATACAATAATTATTTTAAATAATATTCTATCCAAATTACCAGCAATAATCTTAATTTGAGCTTTACTAACACAAAGACAAAATGATCGAATTAGCCCGGACCCCACAATACGATTAATTAGTTTATCGTATTAGGAACTAATGATGGAGTTTCTAATCCACCACCCACAACAGCACACACAACCCCCCCCCCCCCCCAAAAACACCAAAAAAAAAACCAATAAAAAAAGACCTGGAGTTCTAGAAGAGCTATCTACAAAGTGGAAAATGTTGTCGCAGTTGGTATTATTAGGTACTACTAAAATGGTATCTTCGGATCCCTCTGAAAATGTTTTAAAAAAGAAAAGAAAAGAAAAGAAAAGAAAAGTGTCTGGGCACGGATTGAGCTGTGTTGGAGCAGCAGCAGTATTATACTAACAGTATAATATATCATAAGTACTAGTAACATAGGATTGGTGGTGACCTCTTGTATTCGACGTCAAGGATGCCAAGCTTCAAAATGTCTTGATCCTTGCCCTGCACAGCCATGGCCCTGAAAGCTCTGCTGCTAAGCACAAAATCCGTCTCATTATTGTTTTTATTAAGATCCGTGACGATCACCTTGGCCCCTTGCTTGGTACAGAGCTGTGTGTTCTTGCATCTTATCTGCAATTGCAATCTTTCACTGATAAGTATGCAGGTAAATAAGTTAGCAGTGTTATTATAGCTTGATCATTGTTCAAGATCATGGCAACCTTGATGGAAAACATTTGAACAATACTGCTACTGAAAAAGGAAATTAACCCAAAAAAAAAGAAAGAAAGAAAGAAAGAAAAGGAATTTGAGCGGAGTGTATAAAATAAGTGTGTACCTGAAAACATGCGCCGCAACCTGCTCCATCTTTGTAAATGGCAGGAACAGCAGCCGCAAGGTGGCCAGCGTTGAAACTTGTGGCCATTGAGCCATACCCACAAGCACCAGCTGCATTAATTTGATGATAGCAGCATTATCTCAGTGACAGACGAGGAAAGAAACGGAGAAAAAGTTTACATGTATAGGAGATGTTGATCATTTAAGAAATTAAACAAAGTGTGTTGATGAGTGAGTGAGCGAGTGAGACGTACATTGAAGTGCAGATGCCTTGTTGAAGAAAGCAGCTTTGGTGCTGTGGACGCAGCGATCACAAGCTGTGGCCGTAGAGGAGGAGGATATGAGAAGCAACAGACATGATAAACAAGCAAGGTCGACGACTGCAGGCATTCTGGGAGATGTAATTGTCTAATGCCTCACCTACTATCTGCCTAATTTTTTTGTTGTACTACTAGTATATTTGATAATTATATATGGAAGCTAGCGAGCGAGTTCTGTCAACCAACCAGATGAGATCGTGTAATTATGCAGTAATGCAGAAAGAAAGGGGATCAAAGAGGAGAGAAACAGAAGAGTAGAAGAGAGGAATCAAGAGGGGTGTACTGTAACTGTACTCGTCTCTTGGTCTTGGAGAGCACAACACTGATGAGTGATGATGGGATATTTATAGCATACCTTTGAATTTGGGTGGGGTGTTTTATTTATTTATTTCATCATTCTTCTTCCTCCTCCTCTTCTTCTTCTTTTTCTTGGGGTGGCATGCCATGCCAGCCGTAGTATATTTACAGTGATAAAAGTGTATAGCAATTGGCTATGTCACTAAGAATACTGTAGTTCTTGAAAGTAAGAGAGAGAGAGAGAGGGGGATACCACTCACCTTTGCATCAAAACATCAATGGGGCATACGCGGCTGAGACAGAGAATAGAGAACCAGCTCTGCCGTTGGATTGGGGTGGGCACAGGGCTGGGGACCCTTCCCTCTCTCGTTTGACAAACAGCCTTTGCTTTTGTTGCTCGAGTCGGTCGGTCGGTCAGCGTGGACTCCGAGCTTCTCCTCACCACCTTGGGTGCAATTCACTGCGCCCACCGACTCTCTCCCTCCCTCGCCGCCGTCCCCTTCTCTCTCTCTCTCTCTCTAGAAACACGTATCATCCCGTGCGTTTAACAGCTGGTAACAGCTGGTGTGTTTAAACAGTTGCTTTGAAAGTTTGTTTGGATTGCATTTTTATAGAAAAAGTACCGTAATAATTTGATATATGCAACGAAAAAAAGTGATTGAAAAATATGTTGACAAAAAACATTTGAAAAATTACAATCTAAACACACCGTAAATGTTGTGGACAATTTAATCAAGCAACAAATTTCCAGACGTTGTACTCTGATCAACCCTGCTAACTGCGGGTAAATCTAGGAACGGTGGCCATCACCAATGCATTAAAACTTAGTGAGGTGTGAGGCAATGTTTGATAAGGTTTGAAACTTTGTCTCCCACCAATTTGTCACAATTAAATGCGGCATTGTTTAAAAAATTCAGGTGGATCAGTTCGATCCGATGATGGTTCAGTCCCCTTTGAATTATTTCAGGATCTCTTCGTGTCCCCATTCTCCCTGTAACGTAGGAAGCTACCGTATCGACATGAAAAAAAAAAAAAAAAGGAAAAGAAAAGACGAGAGATGATGAGTCAAGTACGGGTGTTTTTCGTTAATGAACTGGAAGCTAAGCTAAGCAGGACGCTAACGCGGGTTTAAAAAGCAGAATTCTGAGTTTAGCTGTCATCCACATATTAGTAATTGGAGTTTGGCATGGACCAATGGTTGGCAATTAATGATTAGTACTTGTTCTTCTCTTTTCTTTTTTTTTTAAAAAAAAAAAATTGGAATTGCCCACAATGGGATAGATAGGGACTAGGGGTGCAAACGAATCGAGCCGCTCGCGAGCGGCTCGATTCGAGCTCGACTCGAGCTCGAGGTGCTCGAGCCAGAGTCGAGCTCAAAACATTAAACTCGTTAGGCTCGCGAGCTCGAGTATATATATATATATATTTTTTTTATTTTTAATAGTAAAATTACATAAATATCCTTAATATTTTATTATTTATTAAGAAAAAATATTATTTTATTTATTTTTTAAAAATATAAAATAATTATTTTTTATTTTTTTCGAGCTCGACCTTGAAAATTACCAGCTCGTCGAGCTCGAGCTCAAGTTTGAGTTCAATGAAATTAAATTAAGGCTCGACTCGATAAGGTCAAAACTCGACTCGGCTCGGCTCGTTTGCACCCCTAATAGGGACAAATCTTTCCGCTAAAAAAAGGACTTTTCTTCCGCTAAATAAGAAAAGCTGACGTGTTTCGTTGTTGAGAAGATAGGACACACATCATACAATTACGACATTTTGGGTGAGTGTTGTTATGATTGCTTCGCTCATCCTATGCACAAGCGCCCGTCTCCAAAGATTTACTAACAAACTAAACTATTTTTGAAAATATTTTTGACAAAAAAAAAAAAATCCAAATCCGCCGGCCCAATCCAATTCTAAGACCCAATCTAATTCCAAGACCACCGACATAACAGCTACTCAGTTAGAGAGAGGACCTTTTTGTCTTCCCCTGTTTCTAGCAGAGCAGTAATGCAATGGACGAAGTACGCGTCCACCGTCTTTCTCACGTCACTGTGATGTGAATTCACATTTCACAATTGTTGTAGCAATCTTGACCAAACCAATTGCTACTTACTACTAAGTAGTAATGCAGCAGGTGCATTACTACTGGGATTTTGGGTGTTAGTACGCACCTAGCAACAGGTGCTCCACAGTCCTAGTTTAGTAGTTCCACATCGATTCCGGAGGGTTTGGGTCGGGCAATTAAATCCCGGGTTGTCGACTTTTGGAGGTTAACATGGGATTAGGTTTAATTATTTCAACAAAAAGTCATTTACTGGAGTTGAAGAAAGACAAACAATTGGAAATTCTGGGGTATTGGGTGCTAGTACATACTTAGCAGCAGGTGCTCTGCAGTCTTAGTTTAATAGTCCCACATTGGTTCTGGGGAGGGGTTTGGATTGGGTAGTTAAGTCCCTGGATTGCCTTCAAGAGTTGCCGGCTTTTGAAGGTTAATCTGGGATTAGATTTAATTATTTCAACAAAAAGTCATTTATTGGAGTTGAAAAACAAAATTGCTACTTATTACTAAGTAGTAATGCATGTGTGGTTGTAGTATTTAAAAAAAAAAAGAGTTAAAACTCAATAATAAACACTTCTTAAGTTTAGGGACGGCAACGAGAGCGAGTGCTTGCCTACGCTCACCCACTGGGGAAGTAAGAGGTGGGGGATGGGGCAAGACGGGAGCGGAGACAGGGAAAATTTTTCTCCCACTATTTTAAATGGGCCGAGGGGTGGGGGATGATACCTAGCCCCATCCCATCTCCCAAATTATCACTCATAGGAAAAATGGGGCAGGGCGAGGCAGGGCAGGTGGTGTGGGGAATTGAGGCAGGGAGTGGGGCAGGGCCGAGGGAGGGATCCCCGCCCCCTTTGCCACCCTACTTAAAGTCCTCAAATTTCTTTCTCATCCATTATTACAAAGCGTAACACTGGGTCAATAATTGCTTCCACATTGTGTAATTTGGTATACACACTACACAGCAACTGCCATCCACCTACAAGCTAGCAACAACAGATCATCTGTCTCACTTCTTTTTGTCACATTCTCTCTTATTTTTATTATATTATTATTTTTTCTTCATAAATATCATATTTTAATTCTTTTTGTATCTTTAAAATCCAATAACTATTAACTGAATAACACAAAATTTAATAAACTCAAAATTTAAAATGCATAAAAAAAGGAGAATTTTTTATGAATCTTCTACTTTATTTTTTAATTTTTTATTATATATTACTTTTTAAAAATTGTTGTATATATTTTATACTCAATTAGCAATAATTGGATTTTGAAGAAATAAAAATATGATATTTATGAAAAAAGAATAATAATATAATAAAAAGTGGAACATAGAGTGACACGGAACAAAAAATCCATTGCGCTAACTAGTGCCCGTATAGCTTATTCCCCGGATGTGACTCTCTCAAGTTCTCAACCTGCCTTCTCGGATATAATCGCTATCAGATCTTGTCGAGCTTTTTCCAAGGCACCTAACAGGTTCTCAGGCTTCCTTCCACCCGCCTGAGCAAAATTAGGCCGCCCTCCCCCTCCACCTCCACACATCTTAGCTACAGGCCCTATGAATTTTCCTGCTTGCAATCCCAGTTCAACAACCCCTGGACTAAAAGCAGCGATGAGACTCACTTTTCCTTCGCCCGGGCGGGACCCCAAGAACACGGCTGCTGGATCCTGTAATGCATCCAATAGATAGTCGGCAGCACTCCTCAGCGCATCTCCGTCAACATCATCCATCGACTCAACTAGCACCCTGGGTAACCAAATATCACAACAAACATCAGAATCAGCCACCTCTTTTGATGTCATGCATCATCTGGATTCTTCAATCAGTTCCATTTCACACACTATAGTGAAGACAAATAAAACAGGAATTCCACATTGAAGTGCCCATAAAATTGTGCAACGCAGTGGCTAATCAAATTGCTCCATGTGATTAGTCAGATGTGACCCGAAACCCTTTTGGAATTCGAAGCTCATAACAATTGAAGATCCCCGGCGTTCTTTGAATTCTCATTGTTAAGTTCAAAAGCTAAAATATTTCTCCATATGAAGTTTTCAGTAACTTCGCTTGATTAACCCAGCTACACTTAATTTGTCAGCATGTATATGCAGAATGAGTAATACTTTTACCTGATTTCTCTTGAAGTTCCAACAGACAATGCTTTGCACGTAATTGTTGAGGCTTTGAAGATTGCTGCTTTTGCATTTGCAGCAGAAACTTCATTTCTTGCGGCTCGTAATTCTTCCAAAAGTGCCTCCACTCTTGTTGTGACGTCTTCAGCTTTTACCTTCACCAATACTGAGTTTTAGTTCCAACAGATGAAAACAGCCAGTAATGATATTCAACTTCTTCCTCGTTTAGAAAGATCCAGTCAAAAAACAGAATGAGAGGATTTGTTCATCTGAAACGAAGAAGACAAAAACTCAAGAGTACTTTGTTACTCTCACGCTGGATAAAAAGTCAAATTTCAGTCAAAAGATGAAAAGAACTTCTCACAAATATCCACATGGCAACAAGATACAACGTCAAAAACTTATTAAGCAGTGAATTGAGTGAAAGTAAAGCATACTTTGAGAGTCGAGCAAAGCTGCTTCATATAATTATCTCTGGCGAGGATATGCTCAATAAATGCATCCCCAGCAACAGCTTCTATTCGCCTGATTCCACTTGCAATCCCCTGTTCAGATATTATCCTAAACCCACGCAGCTCAGAGGTGTTGTTGACGTGGGTGCCCCCACAGAGTTCCATAGAGACCCCTGGGACCTCTACAACGCGAACCTGTGGGTCATGAAGGTACTTAAAGGTTCAAAAACAGCAAACCAATCGAGGCTAAATCTACTTTTCCCCGTTGGCATTAGAAGGATGTTACTCCTCAGAAGTAGCATGTATCAAACCCATTTCTTTTACTCACAGATTGCAGTTTTGTCAATCAAAGCACTAGGTCATTGAACATCCGTTACAACCTATTTTTCCTGTATGAATATTGGTAGAAACCAGTTTTTAACTCCAAACAGGTTTGATTTCTTTTTTGGCTGCTTTACCAAGATAAAAGAATCTGGGATTTGTAGAATACAAGTAATTTCAAATTGCATTACAAATTATAACAGATAGTAGGTTAATTGTGGATTTAAATTGTCTAAATGTAAGCATGTTTTGCTGATCTTCCA